CATTGTTGTTTGGCGGGCCCGGGCTGGGGATTCGAACCCGCCACCTTAGGTGTACGTGGCTGGCGCCTTAGCCGGTTGAGCTATAGGCGCTGAGCCCATAATTTTCTTTTCCATGAGGCCTGATGTTAACTTTATCCTATGACCCTGGGGGTCAAAGTCTCTCTCTCTCTCACTTTACTGCCCTCTGTAGAGTGCTGTGGCATCATAGCTCACAGCAACCTCCTACTTGTAGGCTTAGGAGATTCTCCTTGCCTCAGCCTCCCAAGTAGCTGGGACTACAGGCGCCCGCCACAACGCCTGGCTATTTTATTGCAGTTTTGCTGGGGCTGGGTTCGCACCTGCCACCCTTAGCATATGGGGCCAGCGCCCTACCCATTGAACCACAGGCGCTACCCAAGGGGCCAACATCTCTTACTAAACTATAAAATGAAACAGAAACAAATTTTATAAAGTTAATTGGCACATCTGTCTCTACACCTTTGCAGAGTAAACCTACATCCTTTTAAGATGCAAAGTCATTAAGCCAAAGGTAATCACAGAATGTAGTTAATGCAATCCCAAGTAAAAGGAATCCTCTCAAAACCCAGCTCCCTGCTAAAAAGCAGAATTGTGAACAAAAGACTAATGGCTATGTAGTCTCTATTTAATAAAATTTAATTCTGTACTTAATAAATTATTTAAATTTATATATTTACATATAAATTAAAAGTTATTAAATTACTAGTAAGTAAAAATTAAAGAAAATCCTAAACACTTCCATGCCCAAACAGATTCAAGAGCATTTATATTGATTGCTATCTAAGATCATATAATATATAAAGTTATATTACATAAGGAAAAAAATAAAAATTCCAAACATTACAAAAACAAATATCGTCTTAACAAAAAAGATCAGGTTTTTGCTAAAACAAAGAGTTTTGATATCCAAAAGCACATATAAAATGCCCTTAACAGATTAACTCACTGGTGTTAATAGATAATTAACTCATTACATTAACTATTTTCTTACTTATCATTAAAAGGGTAAAGAAAGAGCAACCAGATGAATGCTCACATTACCATAGGTTCTGTCCTTGTTTAGGTATGGTAGTTTCTACAGCAATTTCTGTTGCTGGTCCAAGATGCATGTTTATGCTTGCATTTTTGCCTAAGTTTGCTTTTTTACCTAAGAAAAAGTTAGATATTAGGTTGAATATAATAAACACCCAATTGCTAGTTTCAACCCTCTGCAGTAACTAGTGCAAACTCAACAGTAACACAGAGGCATCCCATTAAATATATTCACATGTACTTTCTCTTAAATAT